TACATTATTTTGGAAGAATGTATTCTGGAATAGTAGATTGATGGAGAATGTGCGGTTGAAAAAGAAAGAAAAGTTATTGATGTGATGAAAAATATTATTTTATTGAAAAATGTGTGGTTGAAAATGAGTAGAAGAAAGTGAATGAAAATTTTAATGTTGCTCAAATATGGACTTTTGTGCTCTTCACAAATGTATTGGGATTTATTTAAAGCATGCAAAATATATATTAGGTATTTGACCAGATAAAATCACTGAACACTGTTATGAATTTGATCTGATATTGTCTAATTAATATAAAATTGTGTTTATCTAATCGATTTGGTATTCTCAGTATAGTGTCAAACAAGCTGAGATCAATGATCCACCATCAGTTATCTTTGAGCGGTCTTTCTTTTTTAGATGATGATGTATATACCTACTTAAGTTAGACAGCTCTGGGTAGTTGATCTTCTCAGATGATGATGATCAAATGAATAACAGTATATGATATTATGAATAATGATATGTGATCTACTAACATCTTTGATTTTACTTTAGCATCAGAGACTGCATTTAGTGTTGGGGGTAGGATTATGTGAGACGAAATATGCAAATTAAAAAGATATAATCGAGGCTCTAATATGCTAGAAGGATTGACGTATGCAGAATATCGAATTCAAGATAAGGTTGAAAGTGTAATTGGTGAATATTTTCAACCCTTAAATTCTTGATGAATTTTTTGGTTTACAAAAATGTGAATTTTAAATACATTACATTAGGTTACCTTAAATTTTTAAAGATTTTTTTAGACGAAATATTAAATCGTTTACAATCTTATCTACACCTATTTATCTGGTAGTGTTGAAAATATTGTTCAAAATCAGTAAAAAAGGATTTGGAATGAAAAATGAATTTGGAAGCCAAAAGTTTGCACTATGCGACCGCATAGTCTAAGAAGGATTCGGTCGCGTGTATACATGCAAGGTTTTTAGGCCCTGCAGTTGAGTCTTCTATGCGACCGCGTAGAATTGATCTATGTGGTCGTAAATGTTTAAAAAATAGCCGTTGGGTGGCTTCCTTGTTTGAATTTTTGGTGGCTTTTGGTGAAAAGTTTGCAATTTTTCACGAATTTTTGGCACCATTTTGTGGGTGTAGATTAAAACCTATATATAGATGTCAAATTACATTTAAAAAATCATTATTGAAATCATTTGAAATTACATTCCATTCCAAAATAGAAAAAATAAAATTCTTTTCATCCATATTCAAATTCCTCCTTATATTCTTGAAGTTTTGATAGAAAACACTAAGTGTTTAAGTGTTTTTTTTATTACAAGGCTTGATAAATCCTACAAATCATTTGCCAAAAAACCCTTTAAGCACCAAATTTCAATCCGAGATGGGGCAAATATCGTTTGAGGACAACGATATAATTATCGTGTTTAGACATTTTGATTCTTCTTTGATGATCATGATTATTTGTTTATGGTTTCTTCTCAAACTCCTTCAAGTGGAAGAACAATATTTTCCCACAATCTCAAATGATATTTCTACGATGGAGAATTGAACCACCATGGTTGCGATCAAGTG